CTGAGGACATTGAGATTGGAGCTGGAGACGATGGGTGTAACAGAAACACTTTACAATGACCCTTAAGCAGTTATATAATTTTGAACTAAGTTTCATACTGGCACATGTTCACAGCATTAAGTGACCATAAATTGGCATGAATGGGCTTGAACACTCAGAAAACAAAATAATTATTGAGAAATGCAATTGCCACTTTCGCACACTTCTCCAAACTGTTCTGGCAGCATGGAGATCTTGCCTTACCCTGGAAGCGATAAACAACAACTGCAAAATAAGAGAAGAAAATCCTATTTTTCAGTAATGACATCCTTACCTTCAATGGTGGAAAAAAGTATACATTGAACAGAACAATGAAAGAATTTTAGAAGATAATTTAAAAGCTTATAAATTTAGAAATTTATTTCAATGAAATACATTACCTCTGAACAAAAACCCTGACTTATCACTGGAAACAGTTTAAAACTCCATGCTTGTAAAGATTTCCTATTTATCACTAAAGCACCATGTCCCTGTTTCATGATCACATGTCACAGTGATTCAAGCAAGCTTCCACAATATACAATCTCTCTTCTCCTTCTGTAACAACTGCAACTCCTTTCAGAGGTCTCATACAACAGATATTTAAAAAATGCAGTAAGCCAATGCAACAATTTCAACAGCATTATTGTATTTCAACAGTAAAAAAGGATCAAACCTGTTTAATTGCACGAAAGCAGTGTCAAAGTTGCACAGGCACAGTAGGTCCAGGTTTGATTTCTATAGTCTATGGTGAATTAGCTGATATGAAATGGAACAGTGATGTACGTGCTTCAGATAACTTCATAGTGATGTGAAGGGAAAAAAATCTTGCAGGTAACTGTCACTCCTCCTTGTGATTAACATCCTGTAACATCCACTGAAATGGATGGATTTTGATTGAGAAATCTTCTGAATCCTCATTCAGCAGCTTTGTTTTGCAGTGGTTAATACACAGGCTCCTCTTCCAATTTTAGGATTCAGCAATAATTAATTTAGTCACAGACTAATCTTTAGTGTGCATTCTTCCAACAATGTTTGAGGTTGTTGTGTATTAAAAAAAGTAGTAAGTTTTTATGCCAGTAGGTACTAAGTTACTAATTGTCTAAAACATAAACTGCAAATCTTCCGTGATGCCCATACGATTGAGGTAGTTGAGGATGTCTTTGTTAAAACCTATGGCCCCACAAACCACAACAAATGGTTTTCGTCTGCATAAATTAACGAAGTCCTTTACCATATCTTCATTTACACGTCCATAGTAAGATTTTTCTTGATAACTCCAGGGAAGAGTTTCCAGATCATGCTCCTAAAATAATTTAGGTTATCAATAATTAATACAAATGTGGATGAAGCTTGTGCTTGATAACTGGGTTGCTTGTGTTCTCATTACAACTTCAGTTGATTTCTTAGGCAACAAGTTGTTTTTAATTGGACAAAATTGTCAAAAGCAAACCGGTTCCATCTCTATCACCCATTTGTTCAATCACAAACCAGAAGTAATCTGTGATATTTTTATATCTGTTGATGATTGTGAAATTGAAGAAGCTACTGTCAATAATTGCCTCTTATTGAGGATGGTCTTTGTTAGTTGGACCAAAATACTTCTCATCGTCTCTAGTTTGAGATTCTGGCATGACTAGTAAATATGCAACAAGTTCCTTTCTGCTTCCTTTTATATGTTTCCCCTTTTTCTCACTTCTGTTTTTTTTAATTTCCTGCATTACTTTTATCTCTTCCAGATTTGTTTTGCTTCTCATGTTCTCTTTCCTCCACTTCTGTGTCTGTTTTTACCTCCTCCTCTGTGCTTGTCTCTATACTCTGTTCTCCCACAATGTTTGCATTTCTATTTCCCTTCTTTCGCTTGTGTCTTATTCTTTTTCTTTCCCTTTTTCATTTCTGTTTCTTTCTCTCTGCCAACTTATTTCACTGTATTTTTCTCTCTTTCACCCTGTTCACTTATTTCTCTCATTCTCCCATTCCTCCCTCACTCGTTTCATTCTCCCTCTCCCCTTTGCATTTCTCTCTCTTCCTGCTTCATGACTGGTCATTTCTCCCCTACCCTCCTTCTTACTCATACATTTATTTTTATTGTCCTGCTTTTCATTATTTGTCATGCCCCTTTCCTTTATCTTACTTTAGCAAAGTGGGAGAAAGGATGCATGCATTAAAGATGCCTTTAGAGTAGACGTAGACACAAAGCAGGCAGAAGAAGGGAGAATTTCTAAATTCTAAATGTTACTTCATTTGCTATGTGTGATAATTCTTCAATGTAATAACTTTGCTTATCATACTTGATGATACCACTATTGTTATGCATCTAAAGATGCTGTTGATATGGTATCACCTTTAAATTGACTTAGGGAAAGAGAAAATCCAGAGCAGAGTTTTCTAGATTACTGAGGAGAATTTTCTTCAGATCTATGGAGAGAATCACATTTTGCCACCAGCTGCAATGTCTGAGCTAATGTGTCATCTTACCTGACTCAGAACAAACAATATTTTTACATTCCAATAAGCTGCCAGTTCCTGAAGTCGAGGCTTCATATAGATATCTTGGAAAGTCCTGAAGCAGCCCACCAAAGTAACAAAAGTTTCATCTTCTTCATTTGCTACAATATATTGGATCAAAGATATCATTGGAGCTATACCAGTTCCAGAGGCAAATAGCAGCAGCTGCTCATACTGCCAAATATAAAGTAAATGGTGTCAATACACTGTAAAACCATTGATCTTTACATTAATAAACTTCATAAATTTTATACAATTTATCTATTGTTTTAAACTGTCAATGTTAAAGTAAGAAATCTTTCAGTCTCAGGTTAAAGTTTGCAGATTATTAATTAGAGATTGATACTACTATTTCTTTACAACAGTTATATTTGTGCATGGATTAATATAAAGTCATCATTCTGCTGTCGGACCACAGGGCTGCTCCCTTATTATAAAGAGGCAACTGGTGGTGGTTTAACCTTAGGGTTGCCACACCTCAGGTAAGGGAAAAAGTTAAGAAAGAGAGTCCTTCATGGTAATGCTGGAATTGAACCCATGCTGTTGGTGTCACTCTGCATTGCAAACCAGCCATCTAGCCAAATGAGCTAACTGACCATCTCTACTGTTATCTTTGGTGAGAAAAGACTTTATTGGAATTAAGAACTCTCACAAACTACACTGCAATTTCTTTAGGAATGATGGGCTGTAAAAAAGTCTACAGGAACTATTGATTTCTGTTTCTAACTAATCCCAACAAATATTTGAGTTACATCATTGTGTACTATCAAATTTTACAATTATTATTAAAATTCTAAATTGCAAATACTCTTGCTGAGTAATTTACCTGATTTGGTTTGTATGGGAAACCTCCAAAAGGGCCCCGCCAGCACACACTATCCCACTCCTTCCAAGTCTTCACATACTGAGACATTAATCCGTCTTCATAAATCTATTGTAAAGACAAAATGAAACCATTGCTTTGTATAATATGTAATAACATACTCAAGAACCTTTGACATAATAACATTTTTAAGACTCCCAAAATGCTTCACACAACGAATTACTTTTAGAGTGTTATTAAGTTATAGATGAAACATGCTAAATATTAAAATTTAGCACTGTAGATTTATCTGTTACCCGATTAATCGCTCAATTACAGTACAGTAATGAAAGTGTAATATTCTGACTACAGCGCAGCAAAGACACAGTACCTTTATGAGAACCTCAAAGTAACCTTCTGCATCCACAGAGTTCACTGGAGTGTACGCTCTCTGAACTTCCATACCATTGATAGTTCCCCTTTCAATTAATCAGAAATCAATTAAATTAGAATCTTTGGCTAATAATCAAATTTATGTTCATTAAAACATTGGAGAAATTCCACCACAAAATTACATGTGTGGCCTGGGGAAATCTGTTAAACTTTTAACATTTAAGGTTCTTTTTCAAATAACTAATGCCTTTTTTCAATGATGTTACAGCTATATTCACTTTTTTTTCCCGTCTCCTCCTTTTTATTGCTCATGTTTTAGTGCAAATCAGTAAAATTTTCAATATTTCAAAGTCAATTTTATTCTCTCACCTTGTATGCTAAAGGTAGTGCATTTAACTTGTATAACTACTACCCTTGCTGTTCTTTTGCTCCTCTGGCTCTTATACACGAACCTCCATACCCAGAGGTGGTGTGTTTGGACCTGACTCAGTTTTTCCATCCATGGGACACTGGTTTATTCTAGCAACAGTGCTCTAAATACCTTTAATTCACACTATCATTGCTAGCTATCCTTCAATTTGAGGATGACTACTCAGGGTCATAAGTTTCTACCATGAGCCTTCATGTGACTGAGCCAATTGTTTCTTGACCCACAGTTTTTGGGCACATTGGCAGGATGTTCTATGCAGTAGAGGGATCTGGATTTTTTTCCTTTTCTTTCCTTTGCTGTTACCGCTGTCTCATCATCAAGGCATCAAACTTTTAGTGTGATGTAGTTCAATGGACAAGTTATTGATCATTTTGAACTACGGATATCAAGTTCCTCCCAGTCACTAATGTCAATACAGCCGCATTGGAACGTGTCTTTGAAATAATAAGGTTGGCCATTTGAGAGTTGAGAAAACATAACTTGGTGGCAGAGATGCTTTTTGGCCAGTATCCGGTCCATTAAGGATGATTTTGCCTGCATACTTGTGAAGTTCACTTAAAGAGGATGCAAAATGAGAAACAAAATTGCATTGGCCTCCCCCGACACCCCATCCTTCACAGCCCCTTCCCTTTCACATTCCCAGCCCTTCCCTCTCCTTGATGTCCAACTCTCCCTTCCCATTCCCTGGCCCCCTTCATAGCCCCCATCATCAATCTCCCCTCTCATGCTCACTCTCCTACCCATCCAAACGCCGTCTTCACTCTCTGCCCCTACCCCCACTCCCCCCTCCCATCCTCATCCTCATTCTTTGCCCCCATCCTCATTCTTCGCTGTCCCATCCTCACTTCTTCCATCACAAATGTCCTCAATCGCTCCCTCATTCACCATATCCTCATTTCCCAATCTTCACTCCCACACTCCCTCTGTCCTTACTCCCTGCTGCCGAAATCCATTTCAATAACTTGCTTCTTTTAGGTGCATATGGATCTCCTTAGTGTATGACGCCTTTGGAATTCTACATGATGACATAGAGTTTATGGATTTGTGTGTATTTCCAGATCGGCATGCATGTGCAATTACAAGCAACGTTGGGTGTCCGCAGACATTGGCACTTCTTTATTGTGGCAGAAACAATATTGAGTTTTTGCTTTCACTTTTCATTGAGTATTTATGTTAGTGCCAACCTTGTACTCACATTGTGAGACTTGGCCATATCATTTTCCACATAATCTTGACAGGTTGATTTATGTAACATATTGATACGCAATGCCTGGGATCATCTTGCTGTTGCAGCCTTTTTCCATTTCACAGCCAGTGAAATAGTGTAGTGTAAATAGTCCTCAATGTCAGAATAGGCAAAGGAAGACATTCATTCTTCTGTTACCTGCTCTGACATTGAGGACTTCTTGCACTACACTATTTCTGGCATCACATCCCAGCTACCAGGAATAAAGACCTCCCAATCACATTGTTCAAAGGGTTTTTGGAGAGTACGAGCCTCTGTCAAGGTAGTGATCCACTCTATATTCTGCAGGCAAATGAGAATTGCTTTGGATGCTCCTTGACTTGGCTGACTTTCTTCCTGTTGTTAACTCTTATTCTACTTCTTTACTAGGATATTCTCACCATGTAGCTGGGTCTGATCCAACAAAGTCACCCTTCATTCTGTGTGGTCCTTTTCTCCATTGCCTTCCCAAAAGTTTCACTTTCTTCTCCTTCTCCCATCTGAAGCCAATGTTAGAACAATAGTTTCTTTCCTTTCAGCACAATTTCCATAATCATCACTTGGTCATGGTGGATGAGACCCAGCATTGAAAAAAACATGATCCTTCCTCTTTGCAGAATCTTCCCTGTTTGGCTCTATGTGTTCTGGCCAAATAATCTGAATAAGGCCTCAGCCATAGTAATTTCAAGTAATCCCTGCTAGCCCATTTTTTCCGCAAGTTATTTGCCACAAACCTCCTCTCCTTTTCTCAATTTCACGCATCCTATAAACTTTCCAGGTCAGATACTTGGTTATCTTGGGATTTAAAAGTTGACCCTTTAACCTCAGCATCTCCAATGGCCCCTCCCTTTGTGTCTGTATCTCAATCACTGATAAAGTAATCCCTGACTCCCATTCTCCCCAATTCCACTACTTTTACCATTTCTACATGGAAGAAACTCTCTTGTAGGTCAAACAACCTTGTAATGCCACTGAAATATCAGCAGCATTTCTATAACGAAAACAAATCCAGTAAAATGTTCTTAAATTCTGCAGACAATCTAGTTTAGGTAAAATTAGCCCCAAACATCTCTTCACCGGAATAGCTACGATTTAAAACGTGATTAAAATATTTAATAAACTCTTCCTGTTATGTTCCTGAGGATCGGTTTCTCATAATATCTTTTAGTTTGATTATACCAGTGGGTATCAATAAACAGGGAGAAGGACAAAATGTCTGCATTTGAAAAATGCAGTCAACAACTTGTAAGTGAGTCACAATCATAAATGTCATTTTCAACAAAGTAACCTGTTTGTAAAATGTGTGAAATTTTAAAATGCTCAAAACTCCTCTACTTTCACAGAGTTAAAATCAGGTGCAGCATCTCTGGTTACAGCTGCCTTTTATTCTGGTAATAAACTCTGGTAACTCTGATTCTCAGTATTCTTCAAAGAAATTTTCAAATCCAAGGCTTGAGCACAAAATTCAAGGCTGACACTCTAGGGCCAAGACAATATTGCACTGTTGGAGATGTTCTCCTTTGCATGAGAAGCTAAATAAAGATCCTGTTTGGATGACATAAAAGATCCCATTGCACTATTTTGAAAAAGAATGGAAGAGTCATCCTCAATGTACTAACCAATAATTATGTTCCAATCAACATCACATGTAACATCCGATCATTAACAAAATGCTGTGTGCAAACTAGTTGTAGCATTTCCTACAACAGTGACTACACATTTAAAAAGTATTTTACTCGCCATCTGAAATGTTAGCAGTAGTGAAACCTGCCATACAATCTAAATTATTTTTAATCTTTTCCACAGAATTGTTCTGAATATCTAATACCTTACATATGCATAAATACTCTGCAAATCTCTTACCTGGCTACAATGTACTGTCCTACAGTCAACCCAAGACAGCAGCCACTGGGCAGTTGGAATCTATACAGATAAGCGTCAGCTGTCTGCTGCTCCACAGACTCTATCTGAAAAGCACTCCATTTCTCAGTTCCAATTAACTGCAAGTCATTGTGAGTTGGCTGAAACAAGAGAAGAAATAAGATATTTCTAATTAATAATGGCCAATGTTATCAGATTTCTGTTCAAAACTGAAACAAGGAAGATTAAGATCCATGAATCCATTCATTCGTGCTCAAATTAAGATGGTTTTGAGATAATTACCACAATCCAGTGTTTGGATTTCACCTTCTATCATCCATGTCATTAATATTCTACGACATGGAGGTGCCGGTGTTGGACTGGGTTGGACAAGGTCAGAAATCACACGACCCCGGGTTATAGTCAAACTGGTTTATTTGAAAACACAAGCTTTTGGAGCCTCACTTTTTCTGAGTAACACTCAGGTGTGATTTCTGACATTGTTATTCTAATCTGTCAAAGTAAACTTTGTTCTTTACTTAAAAAAATGGTCCTGATGAAAAGCAGTGTCATTTATCAAAATAAGACTATCGTAGTCAAAGTGGAATGTTCCTTTATAAACTGTATGATCTTACAACAGCATTCTGTGCAACTGAAAGTTTGTAATAATTGGTGTGAAGGATTAATAGACATAGAAACATTTTAGTTTCAGTTCCAAAATAGTTTACTATTGACTGTCTCAAATACTAAAAATATGTCAGTGTCCTATTCGTAGACTTGTCATTGTGTTAGAATGTGTGCTTTATACACAGGTTTTGGACTTATCTTCGGACATGCATTGACCCATTTTCCAGAGTCAGTACCACTGAACTCTACTTCCTGTCTAACCTGTCCCAGGACCCCATAAACTATCCCTTGATGTAGTCACCAAAGAATTTTGGAACTGTTGGTTTTAAGCCTTGTCAAATCTGCATTACGTTCAGTTTGTATCCATCTCACTTATGTTCTTTTTATTTTGGCACAGTTTGGATCTCCAGGTGTTTCACAACTTATCTAGGGCCTGACTTATGTTCAAGTGATACTTATTAAAATTAATAACTATACTTAGGTGTACAATATACAAAACATTTTATCTTAGACACAAAGATTGAGGGGATGTCAATCTTACTTTCTCTCCAGCAGGTGCTAACTTTCAACAGGGTACATACTCTAAATTCCTAATGCGCTCTAATAGCCAAATGGGAATTTGTTGAATATGACTCAGACAACTCACAACAGGTTATCTCAATATATAGGATCAATGACAAACCTGATCCAGATTTCATCAGACACACAAACTTCATTAAGGTTTACCTCAGTATTGATTCAGAACTTTCTGGTTTGCACAGTCCAGGAACATGGCTCATTTACCCATTTGTCCATCAGGACATGCAATAGGGAGGCCAGAGGCAGAAGGGGAAGGCATGGTAAGAACCTTTGTTTTCATCTGTTAAAAGGCTGATTTTTGACTTACAACACAACCTTGAAAAAAATTGCTCATCTATATTCACCTCAGAGCTCTGACTCAAAAAACTTTGATCTCCTTTTGCTTTTGCCTGTTTCCATTGGTTGAGTTCCCGCTCATAAATATCAAATACACATGGTTTACATCCACTACCACAACACTGGGAGGGCAGGGGCTCTTGGGGCCGAAGAGAAAGCCATTCATCCTCATTGTATGCCATCACCTGCAAAATACATTAGAAATAAAAACAAAACCTGAGTGTCTATAGCTCTTATCCTTAACTTTTTGAGCACAAAGACATAAAGATTCATTGCAGATTTTACAAATTATATCTTGATTTGTATTTTCAACAGCAGAGAATTTTGAAGATAATTTTCAAGTTAGGGCTACAGTCAAAGAGAACATTGAATTGCATTACAAATCTATTTTTAGATTTTGCAGTCAGTTATCAACATATTTGAGTGAGAAGTATACTGAAATAATTGTGCAAATTCAATAAATATTCGCTTTCTTTACTGGAATTACTGTGGTAGTGGTTAGGCGAGCTTATTATCACATCTACAGTCACACGTTGAGAAACATTGGCAAAATCGGTATACATTTGTGCTACATAAGAGCTAAACAATGACCATTCAAACAAGAGAGAATCTAAACATCTCACCTTGACATTCAATGGGATTACCAACACTGAATCCCTCACTATCAACATCCTGGGAGTTATCACTGATCAGAAACTGAACTGGCCCAGCCATACTGTAGCTATAAGAGCGGGTTAGAGGCTAAGAATTCTGGGAGCAGGTCACTTCCTTTCTCTCCAGTGCCTGTCAACTACCGACAGGGCACAAATCGGGGTGTGATGGAGTACTCTCTACTTGCCTGGGTGAGTGCAGCTCCAACAACATTCAAGAAGCTTGATGTCATTCAAGACAAAGCAGCTCACTTGATTGGTACCCTATCCATCAACGTTAATTTCCTTTCTACTGATAAAACAGTAGCAACAATATGTACCATAAACAAAATGCAGTGCAGGAATTGACTAAGACTCCACTGACAGCACCATCCAAATCCACAAACTCATCTACCTACCACACTAGATAGATGGTACAGCACCACCTTCATTCCCCTACAGGAGACACCATTCTATCTTGGAATTCTATAACTTACTAATAAAATTTAAATTAACCATAGAAATACATACATAAGTACATTTTCTTTGCACACGTTCCAAATTAGGTTCAGGTATTAATGAGGCCCCAACAGCTGACACAAAAATTAAATGCAACCTATTCAATTTCAGCCTGGCTTTATAAGACTTCTCATCAAATAATTGTCTTACTGTGTAATTTTCAGAAGAAAAACATTGCTGTGTTTCTTTGCTGATTTCCTTTGCTACTTTGCCTCAGTATTTCACACAGAGCTAATGATTTGTGTTTATCAAGTCGATTCCATATTTCAGAACCACTTGCATTGGAAGAATTTCCTATAGAACCAGTCAGCATAGCAGCAATTTGAGAAGTTCAACAATGTTTTTATATAGTACCTTTACTGTAAAAAAAAATATCTCAAGGCCCTTCACAGTGCCACTATTAAGCAAAATATGATGGTGAGGCACTACAGCAAATGACAAAAAGCTTGGTCAATGAGGTAGGTTTTAAGAAGTATTTTGAAAGAGGTAAGTGAAGTAGAGAAATGGAGAGACTTATGAGGATAAAATTCTAGCACTTAGGGCCGAGGCAGCCAAAAGCATTGCCGCCAATGATGGAGAAATTAAAATCAGAGATGCTCAAGAGATCAGAAGTTAGAGGAGCACAAATATCACAGAGGGTTGTGAGGCTGAAGAAGTAGGGGACGTTACAGAAGGATTTGAAAACAAGAATGTAAATTTTAAAATTGAGGCATTTGGGAGCTAATACCAATCAGCAATTACACAGTTGGTGGCAAATAGAACTTGGTGTGAATAATGACACAAGCAGCAGAGCTGTATTGATGTGTGAACTGAAAATAAGACTGATGAGAAGAAGTTGCAGCTTTTGAAATGTGGTTCTGACAAACAGTTCTAAGGATCAGGTGGATAGAGCAAAAAGCCAATGAATTTGTCCACAGGGAAATGGGGAACACCAGCATTTTATGGACTTGAAGAAGTTGAGCTGAGAACATAGAACCACTAGAAAAGCTGCAGTCAGGGTCCGGTATTGGCAACAATAGAAAGTGAACAACGGGAAAGCATCATGAACAATGGCGAGAAAACATGACAAGCTGGCCACAGTACCTTGTCAAGTCTGAAGAGGGTAAATGCATGGATGAAGGTTTCAACAGTAGGTGAACTCAGGTAAGCACAGAGCAAGACACAATTATAGAGGTATGGTAGGCAGTCTTACTGATAGCATATCTTGAGGTCAAATATGACACCAAGGTTTCAAACAAGTTGGTTCAGCAGCAGATAGATGTCATGTAGAGGAATGGTGTCAGTGATCAGGGTAAATCAGCATTTTAAAGTAAAGAAAATAAAACTGCTATCAGTAAAAGTGACTCCTGACTGGTTCACTAGTTTAGTGAACTTCATTTAGTGAAGAAAACCTGAGTTCATTACCATGTCTAAGCAACGTGTCACATCTATTCAAATTAAGACTCTCAACTGTACGCTGAACTGTCTAGCAAGTTTGTCATCATCACCTTCTGAAAGCCATCTAGGGATGTGCAATAAATGTCAGCAACACCAACACCCGACAATAGAAAAAAACAATAATAATCGCTGGCAAAATTCAGCAGGTCTGGCAGCATCTTTGGGAAGAAGGTAGATTTAACGTTTCGGATCCAGTGACTCTTCATTAGAACTGATCAGAACTTCTGAACACTAGACTTGAAACGTTAACTCTGCTTTCTTCCCACAGAAACCTGCCGAATTTCGCCAGCAACTTCTGTTTCAGTTGGGAGGTTGTACAGGACATTGGTTAGGCCACTATTGGAATACTGCATGCAATTCTGGTCTCCCTGCTGTTGGAAGGATGTTGTGAAACTTGAAAGGATTCAGAAAAGATTTACAAAGATATTGCCAGGGTTGGAGGTTTTGAGCTATAGGGAGAGGCTGAATAGATTGGGGCTATTTTCCCTGGAGCATTGGAGGCTGAGGGGTGACCTTCTCGAGATTTATAAGATCATGAGGGGCATGGATAAGATAAATAGACAAAGTCTTTTCCCTGGGGTGGGGGGAGTCCAAAACTAGAGGGCAAGGGTTTAAGGTGAGAGGGGAAAGATTTAAAAGGGACCGAAAGGGCAGATTTTTCACACAGAGGGTGGTGTGTGTATGGAATGATCTGTCACAGGAAATGGTGGAGGCTGGTACAAATACAACATTTAAAAGGCATCGGAATGGGTAAATGAATTAGAAGAGTTTAGAGGGACATGGGCCAAATGCTGGCAAACGGAACCAGATTAATTCAGTATATCTGGTTGGCATGGACACATGGGACTGAAGGGTCTGTTTCCGTGCTGTATATCTCTATTACTCTATCTTCCGAATCTGCAGTTCTTTGTTTTATTTTAATAAAGAAAAGGATCAGCCTCCTCAAGTCGACCTTAATTGTTACTCAAAGAGGCGTGAGTATTCCTGATATCCTGGTCGACGTGTATTCTTGATCCCTGTGTGCGTAATAGAGTCATACGGCATCTACTTCCTATTCATGTACCTGTCCAAATGCCTATCAAATGTTGTAATTGTACTTGCCTCTACCACTACGTCGCTGTTTGCAAACTGGCAGCCCGTGTTTGAAACCAGATTACTCTTCAAAAGAAGTTCGTTGGCACGCATGGGATGTCCTGAGAACACGAAAGAGTTTTAACAAAAGCGCATTCATTCTTCTTTTAATTTCTCCTTTACGAAAATAACTGAGCAAAACATCCAAGGCTCACATGGCCGAAGCTGGTGTTCTAATTATACAAAGCAAACGGAGAGAAAAAGGAAATCGTTATTTTAAAGTAAGACAGGAGCTCACTAATGAACTGGTCTCAGCTGGCACAGCAGTTGAACTGCAGATCCCACCTGGACTTGTTGGTCTAGGCTCAGCAAACAATTCACTCAACGACCAGGTCAATCCGAACACCTCACACCGTCATCAACCGTCACCGCTGACCCCGCCTACTGGACAGACACTCTTGTCATTGGCGAAATGTCGCAGTACTGTCTATCTGTATGGCTACTTCCAATGTCAATCAAATCTGGCGCTTTGAGGTCAAAGTTCAAGACGTGTCACGTCCTTCGGAAACTCGTTGTCACAGTAACGCGGCTGCGCCTGATTTTTGTCCTGAAGCTTCCGAATAATCGGTGGATTTTTTTTTCCTTTTTAATTCGTCGCGATGTGGAGTGGAGCCTCGCATGTCCGAGCGGTAAATTTAGTCCCTGCTTTGTCAGGTTGCCGTTTCCTCCATGTCGCCACCGGGTTGTCCGTCCAGGCCCGGCGGCCGCAGAAAAGGCCGGAGCCGGTGGAAATCCCTGGGTTGGAACCCATCACTTACTGGGACAGGATGCACTATGTGCCAGGCCTGGCCGACCCCAAATGCCCTACATGGGATAGAGGATGGGAAGACCCGTTCCATCGCCGGGGGCCCAAATATGAGGAAATGCCACTGTACAAGGAGAAGCCGTGTTACACGTTCCACCAGAGAACCAAGATGTTAGAGGGTAAGGGCAAGGCGGTTTGGACACAACACGAGAGATTGGAGCAAAATAAGCTATATGGCCCGTGTCATTACAACCATGGCTAATTTGGGGTTTTAACTCTACTTTTCTGTTTATTTCCCTTATCCCTCGATTTCCTGAGACACGATAAATATGTATGCCCCAGCTTTTAACGTATTCCACAATGGAAACTTTGCTAATTTCAGGAAAAATCACTGCAAATATTCGCAACACTGAGTGAAGAAGCCTATCCTCATCTCAGTCGTAAATAATCGATTCCCTTGTATGGAAATACGAATTGGGAATGGAAATATGTAATTCAAGCCTCCTCTACCATTCAGTAAGATCATGGTTGATTTGTTTGTGTTTTGAATTACATATTTCCATCTATTCCTGATAATGCCTGACTTCCTTACTAAACAAGAATCAATCCCACCTCTGCTTCAAAAGTATTCAATGATTCCACCTTCACTGCCTTCTGAGGAAGAGGGTTCCTAAGTGTCTCGACCCTCTGAGGGAAAGATTTTCTCCTTGACTCTGTTCTAAAAAGGGTGATCCCTAGTTCAGCACACATCCACAAGAAGAAAGTCTTTTTTTTTTCTGTATTAACCTTACCAAGACTGTACAGCATCTTTTATACTTTAATCAAGTCACTCCTCAATCATCTAAACTCCAATGGAAACAAGCCCTATCTGTCCAACTTTTCCTCATAAGACAACATACTTATTCCAAAACTCAAGGTAGTAAACTTCCTTTGAATTGCTTCCAACTGATTAATATCCTTTGGTAAATAAGGAGACTAAAAACTGCAGATGGTATTCAAGATATGGTTATCAGTGTCCTGTGTAACTGAAGGGTAACTTCCTTAGTTTTATGTTCAATTGCTCATCCTGAGACTGTGCCCCCTGCATCTTAGATTCCACAACTAACAGAAGCAATCAGTTGGCACCTACCCGGTCAAGATCTTTCGGAATTTTGTATGTTTGAATAAGATCACTTCTCATGTTTCTAAACTTCAGAGAATATAGACCTAATTTGTTCAGGCTTTCTCCCCCAATCTAAGGGATTCATTTAATGAACTTTTGCTGTACTTTCTCCAGCATGCAACTTTTTTGACCCTCCTTAACCAGTTCCTCAATGGGACAGCTTTTACTGCCTTGATTAGTTCAGGTTCCACTGCCCTAATTGGCCATTTAGCACATTTTGGGAAACAAAGATTGCCAGTCCAGCCTGCACCATTCAATTGCAGATGTTTCCTCATGATTTTGATCAAGAGGCCTTCTTTATAAGCAATCTATGAACTTTTGAGAGGAAAAGAGGGCCGACAGAGAAACTGAATGTGTTGGAGTTGTCTATTTCTGACTATTCAAAACAGAGAATAATGATTCAGAATTAGAGGCATTAAATAGAATTGAATGTAAGACTGACCAATGGTATCCTTCTCAGTCCACCCATTCACTGCTGTAAGGTTTGACATGGATTATAATCCGTGTACAGGATGAATCAAATGGTGCATATTGTGAGACTTATCACTTGCACTGTTTCCTTCCACAACACTACTCACATCCAGTGATGCCAATCCTATGTCACAAAGCATGAGGTAGACCCTAAGATCAAGAACCTTAGTATAAAGTCATGAGTAGATCTTGTGTCCAACTTGAATCAATATGGATTTGCAGATGTTTTCAAACTCCAAAAGCGTCTTTAATTTCAAATTAGTCAGGATGGTATACAAATAATATTAAAATTTCTCAAAATGATTTTTAAAACCCTTTCTTATTATTTTCGGTATGATCATGACTGCACCTAAGAGAAGGGGTTCAAATGCCACGTTCTTTTATCGGCCAAGGAATCTGCAACAAAAAACACCAAATGTAGAACATAACCTGCTGGATTTGGGCAGTGAGAGGGGAGGGTTTATCTTCCTAAAAATGCATTTGTGTTTTAGTCTTTTAAACTAATGTATCTCTGAAATTACTTGGGCTGTGAATATTAATTTTTAATGTTTTAAATTAATTTGTTATTTTTAAATGTATGTGTATAGCTTGTTAACTTATAGCATTTCTCTGCATTAGTGTAACCCTGTCACTTGTAAATGTAATAGTGTGAAACTTTGTACTCTAAACCATCTGCAGTTTAATATTTCTTAAGATTTATTCACCTATTTTCTTTCTTTCTTTCCAATATCTTTAGTTCAATTCTCTTTACAATATGTTGAAATTTGCTCCAGTAATGTATGTTTATCATTGACTTTTATGGAGAAGGGATGGCCTAGTGGTATTATCGCTGGACTGTTAATCCAGACACTCATATAAAGTTCTGAGTCCCGCCTTGGCAGATAGTGGAATTTGAATCTAATAAATATCTGGAATTAAGAGTCTAATGATGACCATGAATCCATTGTCGATTGTTGGAAAAACCCACCTGGTTCACGCATGTCCTTTAGGGAAGGAAACTGCCTTCCTTACCTGGTTTGGCCTATGTGTGACTCCAGACCCACAGCAATGTGGTTGACACTTAACTGCCCTCTGGGCAATTAGGGATGGGCAATAAATGTTGCCTAGCCAGCGACACCCTCAAACCATGAATAAAGAAAAGAAAATTTCCCTTCGTTTTCAGTTTTGGGGCAGCATGGTAGCTCAGTGGTTAGCACTGCTGCCTCTCAGTTCCACGGATCCAGGTTTGATTCCACCCTCGGGTGACTGCCTGTGCAGGATTTACACATTTTCCCCATGTCTGCATGGGTTTTCTTTGGTTTCCCCTCTCAGTCAAAGTGTATGCGGGTTAGGTGGATTGGCAATACTAAATTGTCCATTGTTTCCAGGGATGCACAGGCTGGGTGGATTACCCATGCAGGGACAGGGTAGGGGCGTGGTTCTGGGTGGGATGCTATTCAATGGGTTGATTTGAACTTGATGGGCTGAATGGTCTGCTTCCACACTGTAGGGATTCTATGACTATGAATATTATTATTTCCCAGATGTCCCCTAGAGAAAATAATGACCATTATTAGCGATTTGGTGGCAATGTGCAGCAAATTTTAGGTGGTTTAAACACTAAGGTCCAAATTGTCATCTCCATCTTAAATGGGAGGTCCTTTATGTTTCAACTGTGACCCCTCCTTCTAGTCTTTCGCACAAGCAGAAACTTGTTTCAGCATCTAACCTGTCAAGTCCTGTTAAGGTCTCATATGTTTTAATCTGGTGACCCCCTCGCTCTTCTAAACTCGGATGGATACAGGCCCAGTTTGTCTAACCTTTCCTTATAATGCCCTAATTTCAGAAATCAATCTGTAGACATTCTCTGCACTGCTTGTCATGCAGTTATGTTCTTTCTTAAATAAGACCACCGATGTTGTTCACCATATTTTATATGATCTCATCCATACCCTATACAAGTATAGACTAACAGCCATACGTTTATATTCCATTCACCTTGCTGTAAATGGCACCATTCTTATTCTGCTATTTATCTCCATTTAAATAATCTGCTCCTTTACTATTTTTCCTATCAAAGTGGGCAAGCTCAAGCTCCATTTTCTGCTAAATCTTCGCCCACTTAATTTATCTTTATGCCTTTGCAGGCTACTGACCCTTTATGTCATCAAGAAATATATCAACAGTGCATTCAATATCTTCATCCATCTTATTCATATAGACTGAAACTAGTTGAGACCCAATACTCATCCCTGTTGGCACTCCACTTGTCACAAAGGCCACTAGTAAATTAGTTAAGTCTGATTTTCCTTTCACTTATGGTGCCTTTAAAATAGTGATATGTCCCAGCATGTTTCACATGAGTGCTGTAAAAAGTATGACACTGAGCTACATAATCGGGTATTAAGTCAGCGTCCAAAAGCTTGGTCAAAGAATTTGTAAAAGGGATAAGTGAGCTGGGAGATGAAATTCCAGAGCTTATGACCTAGGCAGTTGAAGGTTGAGCCACCAATAGTGGTGAATTTATATTTGGAAACGCAAAAGAGCCTAACGTTAGAGGAGTGCAGATGTATGGAGAAAGATGTTTGAATTAATGGGGCCACTAACACCAATACTGGGAAGGAGGGAGCTGTTCCAATGGGATAGCTTCCACTTGAATCATGCTGAGACCAGAGTCCTAGCAAATCACATAACTAGGGCTTTAAATAGTAGAGGAGTAGGTTCAGTTACATTGAAGACTATAAAATCGAAGGTAAAGGAGAATGTAGGAATTGCTGGTTGGTGATGAGGTTGATTGTTACAAGAAAATAGAAGGAAAGGTTATTAAAGTTTCCAGAACAAGTACAAAGGATAACAGGTACAAAGGATATTGAAAGAGTCCGGATTCTAATTTCAGGCACAGCAGATAGCGGGGGGTCACCTATGAGAAGAGAGGTGATCAAGGCAGGATTGAAGGTGTTGTACTTAAATGTGCGCAGTATATGAAACAAAGTAAATGGCTTGTAGCACAGATTGAAATT